ATTCATACATTTCAGCTGAGCTAGTGTCCTCTGCACTTGCTCTGGGTGGGCATTGGGTTTCCTCCATGTGTGTCTGCATTTGATTCTTTACTGCAGATGCTATTAATTCAGGGATTTCTTTTTTCATTTCCAATCTGAGTTCCTCTATACCTTTCTGCAGTTGTTTCTTTATTTCAGAAGCTGTTGATTCATTGCTTTCAGCTGTGTGATTCCCACTTTGTTGTGTTAGTGTCCTCTGCACTTGTTGTGGGTGGGCTTGGGTTCTGAGATTGCATTTTGCTCCTCGTTGTCATTTTTTGTAGCACTGTCTTCTGACCTTTGTTGTAGATCTTTGGTGCAGTTATAACCTTAGCACCTACTGAAATGCAGGTACAGATCTACAAAGTTTGGATTTATCCTGCTGTGCTGGCTTGGGTCTGGCTGCTGTGCTCAGCTCCTTCCTGCTGCCGCCCTTGGGAGTGATCCTGTTGTGCCCCCCCCTGGCAAGATGTTCTGCTCCTGGACTAGCTTGGTGGCTTTGTCCCCTACTCTATCGGCAGGGATTGCAGCTGCAGGGTTTCACCCCAGGCCTGAGCTGAGTCTGGAGGGGACAAGGTGGAGTAGGGGGAGAGGCAACTCTCCCACACACTCACCAGGCCTGGGCTAGGGCTGGATCAGGTGGTCCCCAAAATACGGCAGAAATTGTCACTAGGCTTGTGGTGGGGGGCACTGCTAAGTGGTGTTGGGGGCCCAAAGGGTGGAAGAGGGTCTCACCCACACTGCGCCTGGGCTGGGAACGGCAGGTCCTGCCAGCGCAGGGTAGCAGGAAGCTCTCCTATTTTTGTATTTGTTTCAGGCCTGTAATTCCATTCTATCTTCATTGATCATTGTAAGTTGATTAGTAAAACTCATGTTTAGTTTTATATACCCAAGTTTGTAGTGTCCATATTTGATAGAGGAGCAATATTTAAATAGTAGGTTAAATTTTTACAGATTAATTTACTCAAAATCTTACTTCTTATAGGATAATTTCATCCATTTAATTGAAATGAAGTAAGTAACAGAAGAGATTTGATGTGACTTGACTGGATTTGATTTGATTTTTTTTTTTTTTTTTTTTTGGTTTTTGAAATAGTGTCTCACTATGTAGCCCAAAAGTTGTGCCTCAGCTTTCCAAGTGCTGCAAAGCATATATGATATCAGTTTACAAAATTGGCTATAATATGTTTTTTTCTTAAAATTGTTTTTGGTTTTTGTTTAGGCTTTTTAAATGAACTAAGTCTATTGATATATTTTAGTGCACATGGTGATCACTTTCATCGTAGGGAACTTGTACCTGTACATAATTTACCTTAATTCTCTCTTTTTTTTTTTCTTTTCGCTGCCCTCCCTTCAACTCCTCTTTCTTCTCCTTACTTATAAAATCTTTGTTTCCATCTTTTTTTTCTTTTCCCTTTCTCCTGCCTACTCTCAAGTTCCCCTTCCCATTTGAACATTTTCTTCCTCTTTCACAATATGTGTAATATATTTTGGTGTTTATTTACATTTTCAATTTCTCAAACCAGAGAAACTGCAGTTTATTTCACTTAAGAGTATGGTCTAGAGGTACATCCTTTTACCTAGAAATGTTTCTTTTTTTTTTTTTTTAAGAAATGTTTCAAGTTTATCTTTTTTATGGCTGAATAATACTCCATTGTATAATATGTTTCTGTTTTGTTTCTTTGTTTCTTTTTTTTTTTTTGTATTTTAGTACAGGGTCTCACTACACAGATCAGACTCATAGTGATCCCCCTGTTTACAGCCTCCCAAGCGCTGGGATTATAGGCGCGTGCCACCAAGCCCAGTCTGTTGCCAGTGCCAGTCTCGGCATGTCCCGGGGTGGGGTCGGCACACAGCACTGTGGGGATTGAAACCTGGTTTCTGCCTCTGCCTAAGCAGAGGCTTAATCTGCTGATCTATCTGGCTGACCCTTTTTTTTTTCTTCCTTGAGTCAAGGTCTTGCTGTGTAGATCAGGCTGGCCTTGAACTCACTGTGTAGCCAGGTTCACCTGGAATTCTCAGCAGTTCTGCTGCCTCAGCCTCCTGAGTACTAGTCTATCACGCCTGCTTATCATGTTTGAAAGGAGCCTTTATGTAACTTCCTCATTTTGATACCTTTTTTATGCTCTGCAAGTGTGTTAATAGAGCACTTATTAGTTGAGTCATAAATGATCTCAGAACAAGCATCTAAAAGCCTTTATTATCCTGAAAATTCAGTTTCCAGAGTCAGTTGTCTATAAGCCATAAAAAAAATTAGTCAAGACAGATATGTGCTGGATATTTTCTTGTTTTTTATTTTATTGGAACATTTCAGGTATATAAAATAGTAACATTCATCATAGAGAATTTGTTCTTGTATGTGACACATCTTATGCTGGATTTTGACTACCAGAATATACTTACAAATTTTAAGGACCATCTATATTTTTGTTATGAAAAAATACATTTTAAATATGGCCTTGAAAGATGATAAACAATGTGTTTTTAGTTTTCAGTTAACTGTATTTAATTTTCAAATTTTAAAAAGTGTATTTCTTCTCTGTAGTGGAAAGTCCCTGAAAGAAACTGTTACTATTGAAGATGGACGAATTGGAGAAAGGCCAGAAATAATTTATCATATAATTCACACTATTTTATTGGGTTCTCTTGCAATGGTTTTAGAAGGGTAAGTGTACTTTGATTTCTTTTTATGATTATCTTTTTTAATAGTTAGTAAGTGGGCATATTAAAAAATATATTTGTAGGGTTGGTTTGATAGCTCAATGGACTAAAGCACCTGCTTAGGCAGAGCACAGTGGTGGGGGTTCAATCCCTAGGTGCTGTGGTGGTGTGCACCTGTAATCCCAGCACTTGGGAAGCTGAAAACAGGAGAATCACTACAAGTTGGATGTACATAGTGAGAATCTGTGGACCTTGTAGACCCTGTCCTAAAATACAGGAGATATATATATATATATATATATGTAAAAACTTTATAAAAACTTAAAACCTGTACTCTTACTGTAGTTGGGGTTTACAAAGATCTTTATAACACACTGAGCTGACTTAATTGTCATTCATTTGTTGAAAAGCTATTGAATGTCTTCCAGGATACATGCTGGGTGTTCAAGGTACGTAAGCAAAAATGGACACAGCCTCTAAGCTCATATAGCATATGGTCTAATGGAGATGACAGGTATTAATCACACACACAAACAGTTATAATGCTAGATGTGGTGGAACACTCCTGTAATCCCAGCATGAAAGAGGCTGATGCAGGAGGATCACCATAAATTCAAGACCAACTTGGGCTGCACAGTGAGTTCAAGGTTAGGCTGAATTACACAGGGAGACACTGTCTCAAAAAAATTAAATTAAAAAATAAAATTATTGGGGGCCGAAGAGATGGCTCAGTTAGAATAAGCGCTTGCCTGGCAAGTGCGAGGGCCTGAGTTCAATCCCTGGTTCTGCAAAAAAAAAAAAAAAAAAAAAATTATAGCTTGATAATGAAAGGAGAGATTAAAGGTAGTATGAAAACTTTTTAAAACAGACTTTAAAAGATCAGATGGGTTCTCTAGAGAAACTTGAGACTTGAAGGCCGAGTTGCAGTGAACTTGGGGAGCAGCTGAGGGTGAGTGTTCCATATTCCATATTCAGGGTGGAAGGACCTGGAAGGGCTGGCAGGGGGCGGGGAGCTTGCTATGAGGGGGAGCTTGCTGTGGGAGGGAGCTCAGCGCCTTGCTGGGACCACAAGTGCTCAGCGTGGGAAGTGCAGCTAGTGCCATAGGCCTTGCTGGGGGCTTGGAGGTGGAGCTAGCTTTCCATTCATCGTTTCCCTCATTTATTTCTTTTGTTATTAAATGAAAATGAACCTTTTGTAAAATACAGATGGGATCACATTTAATGCTCAGTAAGTTAAAAGTTTACATTTTATTTGTCTTAGAATTTTAATGTTCTGTGTACATTACTAAATTTGTTAAGGCAAATTGATATTGGGATAGTCATGTGTCACTTAATGTCTGAATGCTTTCTAAGAAATATATTGTTACGTTCTGTGCATACTTCATAGGATGTGCTGAACAAAACTAAGACTGCCATGTCCTCTCCAGGCAAGATAGTTTCATGGCATTACTATCATATATGTGGTCGATCACTGATAAAAGCACAGGGCTTTATTAATATTCAGATAAGTTATTGTCTTAGCTATTTGAAGAGTTAGATTTTTGTTTTCTTTTGTTTTGGTTTTTGAATCAGGGTCTCACTGTTTAGCTCAGGCTCACAGTGAACGCACAGTGATTGTCTTACCTCAGCCTCCTGAGTGCTGGGATTACAGCCATACACCACTGTGCCTGATTTCTTTTCTTTTTTTTTTTTTTTTTTTTGGTGGAACCGGGGATTGAACTCAGGCCCTTGCGCTTGCCAGGCAAGTGCTTATTCCACTGAGCCATCTCCCCGGGCCCTGTGCCTGATTTCTTTTAACATATCTTGCGCTTCTTATTTATTTTTGTAGTACTGAGGGTTGAGCTACATTCCTAGCCTTTTTAAATTTTTTTAGTCCAACCTGTAATGCCCAGGCATGACTCAAATTTGCAGTCCTCATTCATCAGGCTCCTAAGTGCAGGGGTTATAGGCGTTCACCGTGCCTTGCTTACGCTAGTTAAGTCTTTAATTTTCAAACTTTGCTTATTCCTGCTTCTTTGGAAAGTCATGGCAACCTGTCAGACTTTATAAAAATGCAGAACTTTATAAAAAGTAGTTTTTATTTATTTATTTATTTACAGACGGGGTCTCACTTTTTTTTTTTGTTTGTTTGTTTTTTTGCGGAGCTGGGGATTAAACTCAGGCCTTTGTGTTTGCCAGGCAAGCGCTTATTCTACTGAGCCATCTCCCCAGCCCCAGGGTCTCACTATACAGTTCTCAAGACCAACCGTCCTTCTGATACCATTCATGTGCAGTTTCGGGGCTTCCCCAAACTGTTTTCAGGTTTCAGGCTCAGAACCAAGGAAAGTCATTGTACTCATGGTTGCAGTTCGCTGCCCCTACAGTGAGCACAAGGAAGAGCTGCAGAAGATAGGGTCCAGGAGGCCTGAGACACTTGATTCTCTCATGGATTCATGCAGACAGTGCTTGTTTGTCTCAGGAACGACAGCATAACAGAGTATCATCAATCAGAGAAGCTCATCTGTGCCTTGTGTTCAGTTTTTATTGAAATACTGGGCAGAGTAGTTGAAGGAGGAGAGATTAAGCATGGCTCATGTTTCAGGCGATGCATGGTTGGCAATGTGGTGGGAGGGTCTGGGCAGAGGAAAGCTGCTCATGACATGGGGTCAGGAAGTAGAGAAGTGTATCCTTGCAGGTCACACCGGTGTCACCCACCTCTTCCTGCGAGATGCTACTTCCTAACAGCATATTCAGTCATGGCACCCTGTTGGGCTGGTCTTCCAGAGTCCCACCTATACATGCATGAGACTCTTGGGAGGTACATAAAGATAAACCGTAACAGTGACCCCTAGATGCTTGACCACCCATGTGGTTGAGCAAAGCCTCCAGTGGCTCCACAGGTTGACTTGGTTTTGTGTTGCCCAAGGCTCTCAGGATAGACTATATTGTTAACATAACTCTCAGTCATGACCTAACTGTCCTAGTTAAACAAAGCTATTCTTTTTTGTTGGTGGGAGTACTAGGCAACAAGCAGCAAGCACTCTGCTATTGAGCTACATTCCTGCCAAAAACAAAGATACTGTATTAGGTGAGAGATTATGTCTTGGGAGTGCAGGGCAAAGACTAGATCTCTAGGTCAGGGATGTAGCTGAGCAACAAGTGTGTGGCAAGTCATGGGTTTCATTCCCAGTACCCCCCACAAAAAGACGACCAGATCTCTCTTTGACCCATTAATTCACAATAAGTAAGATACATGGAAATAAGTAGAGTGAAGGATTATATATGAGGCTCTTTACATATTAATTAAATTGTAATTCATCCCAGTTCTGTCCCCAGGCCTCATCTTTTATGATTGTTCTCAAATTGATTTAATTGACTATGTCCTCTGCCTTTTATGAAGCACTGAACTGGAGGACTGCCAAATTGTAATTTGACACAATAGTTTTATCCAAAAAATGTCTGCATGTTTTGACATTCATAATGTCAGGCAAGAAGAAATACATCGTCAAGCAGGTGAAGTGTCTAATCACTGCTTCCCCCACCCTGGTGGTGTAGCCAGGGTTTGAGGGGCTGGACAGCACCATCTCCTGTGTGCAACCCTGCACTGCCCTGAACCTGAGAACTGCTTCCACTCTGGCCTGGCCCCTATGTAGAAGCTGCGGATGAGTATTTGGAGTTAATTTGCTTCCAAATAGCTCCAATTCCAGCTACTTGGAACAGCAGATCTCAGGTGGGGTGTATATTTAGGAAAAAGGGCAGCTGTTTGAACAGGTTCCTGCTGGTTTGAACTACCATGTGGTACAGGTGCTAGTCCTGGTGAGTGGCTTGCACCGCTGATAGTACAAATGCATCTAATCACTTATCTTTTTTTTTGCTTTGTTTTGTTTTGGTTTATTACTAATAAAATGAATAAAAACCACCCAGTGGGACAGTCTTACACATACTACAGATAGTTCCAACCTCCCAGCAGCAAGACATGAATTCCATCATGAATGCTTCAAACCTATTTTATAAATGAGAAAGGAAAATGTTACCATTTTAGGAGTTTGTAGCTTTTCCTTTTTTAAGAAAGTGGGTCTCAGTACCGTAGGCTGCCAAGGCTGTCCTCCCACCTGGGGTCCTCCTGTGCCTGCGTATCAGGTAGTTAGGATGACAGGTGTGTGCCTCTGCTCTTGGTTACTCTGATGGCTGGTTTTTTGTTTTTGTTTTTGTTTTTCAACAGTCTTGCTCCATAGTTCAGGCTGGCCTTGAGCTCATTTTGTAACCCAGGCTGGCCTAAAATTCAAGCACTCTTTCTGCCTCAGCCTCCTGAGTGCTGGGATTACAGGCATGTGCCACCACACCTGGCTGATTGTTTTTATTCATCTATTTATTTTTTAACCAAGGATCAAACTCAGGAACTTTTCATTGTTTTTAAATAGAAAGTATCTTGAGGGCTGGCGAGATAGCTCAGTGGTCTAAAGTGCCTGCTTAGGCAGGCTCAGGGGACCATGGTTTCATCCCTGGCACCACATGCCTTGGCAGCCCCGCTCTCAGAGTGGGCTGAGCCGGTCGATAGATTAGATAGATCGATAGATAGTATCTTGCAGAGATGATTGAAAAAGATTCACTTGGCATGTGGTTGACTGGGAAGGGCGTCAAAAGGTAGAGTGTTGCTGTTGTACTGAACTGCTATGGAAATACAGGGTACAGAGAAACGAGTGGATCTGGAATCAGTGGACTGAGCTGAGAGGACAGATGCTGGTGTCCGGGGGACCTTGTAATTCAGTGTGAGTGGTGACCCCAGGAACTGTAAAGCCCTAACACTAATTAAGGCTGACTGGGAGAACAGGTTGCTATTTCCAGAAATAGGTTAGAAAGAATGTATTGGGTGAGCTTAGGAAACCATGGGATTCCTGTCTTAGCAGCAGGCAGACTATGTCTGTGCACTATTTTGTATCAGGAATAGAACTTGACCTCATGCTTGCCAGGCAGACACTGTGTCCACTATTTCTTACAGGGCCTGAGTTAGGATCTACTTTTTAAAAACTCATTATCTACATTCTTCTCAAATTAATTATTTCCTTTTTTTAAGAGTAGAAAGAATTTATTCAAAGATAGTGTCTGTGTAAGATATGATAGTGTCTAAGATAGACTGAAGGGGTCTGAAAGTGAATGGCCTCAGTTATTTCTTCTCTATATAATCTAGACTTTGCACAGAGTTTCTTAGTCTCTGTCTTTCTCCTCTTCTCTTTCTCTTGCACTTGCCAGGCAGGCGCTTTGACCACTGAGCTATCTCTCCAGCCCCTTGCATATATATTTTTATACACTTATATTAATATGTCTGTTGGCTAGATAAGTAGAAATTTCATTATATATTTTATTTTAAATTTTATAGATTCTGCCAGTTTGCTTTCTGAAAGCTAGACAAGTCATTTTCTGCAGGAGTATAATTTTGCTATACCCTCATCAACGTGAAGGATTTTAATTGTTTTTTTTAAGGATTTTAATTTTTTTTTTAATTTTTTTTAATATTTATTTATTTTTATTTATTACATTTATTTATTGTGTGTGTGTGTGGCCAGCTCAGCCCACCAGGGGGCGGGTCTGGCTGGCATGTGGTGCTGGGGGATCGAACCGC